GTCCATGAAGGGAAGGAGCCTGGTGGGGGGGGGGATTCACGGCTCCTCCAGCCACGAGGGCTTCCCGGCTCCTGGGCTCTTCAGCTTGATGTTGAACTGCTTCAGCGTCTGCTCCAGCTGCTGCTGGTTGCCCGCAAAGTAGGCCGAGATGGCGTTGTGGAAGAGCAGCAGCTGCTTCTGCATCACCTTCACCTGCAGGGTGGGAAGGGAAGGGAACGAGAGGGAAGGGGGTCAGCCGCTGGCGCCCCCCATCACCATTGCAGGGCACCCGCCGCCCTCCCCAGGGGAGGCACTGACCACTGCCCCACGGCAGCCCCTTCTCCCGCCACGACGTCCTCTCTTCCAGCGGGAAGGCAGCTGGGTGTGTGATCTGCGGATGCCCCCCTCCTGCCCTCGACACACCCCCCCCATTCAAACAACAAGCCTTGATGTGAAGATGAGGGAGCCAGACCCTGCCTTGTCCAGAGAGAGAGAGAGAGAGAGAGGCAGCCACCCTGCTCTCCCCAGCTCACGCCTGCACAACGGGGAGGAGGGAGAGCAGCTGACCTTGTTTTCCTCCAGGAACTTGAGCTTGACCGCCACGTCTGCCCGCAGCTTCTCATACTTGGCGCGATGGGCCTGGAAATGGGCCTGGGCGGCATCCAAGCGGCAGAGGGTGCTGGCGTCCCGGGGGCCCAGGTTCAGCTCCTCCAGGTCTGTGCGGTAGGCGTCGTACTCCAGCCTGTGGGAGGGAGAGGGGTCGGGTGGTGTTTTTTTCGGGGGGGGGCAGCCTGGGGCCTGGGCTTCCTCCCCAACCCTTCTCACGGAGAGGGACGGGCCGCCCCAGCCGGCAGCCTTCCTTCCGGCTCCCTTCCCCTCAGGCAGGCCAAGAGGCAACGAGGGGCCCGGCACTTCCCCCACCTGGCCGTCTCGTACTGCTTGACCGTCATGAGGGTGTCCTCCATGGTTTTGTTGACCAGCGTGTTGATGCTGGAGACGAAGAAGTTGACGGCCCCAAGGAGGGTCTCCCCGTTCTTGCACAGCAGCTTCTGCGTCTCGGCATTGTACCCAAACTCTTCCTGGGGGCGGAGGGGGAGAGGGGATTGGGACGTGCTCAGAGGAAGCTAAGCCCCCCCCCGCCCCCGCGAGCCAGCTCCATACGCAGCTTTTCTGCACCTGGGAAACCCTCAGGCCTCTGAAGAATGGCCCTCACCCTCCCTCTGAGCCTGGGAAGTCCCAGGAAGTCAGGAAGAAAAGGAAAAGCTTCCTCCAAACCCATTAAAACCTATGCCAACTTTTTAGATGTTTTTTGGTTGATGGCCACCGGACGGACGGCCAGGGATGGTTTTAAAGGGCAGATTCCCTCCACTACTAGCAGGGGACTGGACTCAACGACCCTCGGGGTTCTGAGATTCTGTGAAGCTCCCTCTGCAACCGCTGGCTGGACGGCAGAGCCCCGCCTGTCCTGTTCCAGGCTGGTTTTTCTCTCTTTCTTTTTTCTTGCAGTCCTGGGTGACCACCTGGGAGAAGTGCCCTACAAGGACGGTGGCACGGGCAACTGGCTGGACTGGCCGCAGGGCTAGCCCCCCCCAACCCAAGGGGCGGGTTGGCTTGCCTTTCCAAAGCATCCTGGCCAGCCTGCCCTTC